TCTCACCTTCTCTTCCGGTACAGACAATGACAAGTAAAGATGCTAACCAGGAAGTGGAGATTGCCCGGTGTCACAAGGGACAGTATTTTGGAGAGCTTGCGCTTGTTACCAACAAACCCAGAGCAGCCTCTGCCTATGCTGTTGGGGAGGTCAAGTGTTTAGGTAAGGATTCCTCATGCCATTCCCCATCGCCTCTGCTGCCGAGTGCTGTTCTAGGTGGCTGTAGAGCCACTTAGGCCCCCAGTGCCTGTTGGTGCCTCAGTTAGGGCCAGAGGCTTGGCCTAGAAGGTGCTTTCATTATCTCTCTGGGAACCACCATTTCCTTCCTCCTGCCCCTTTGCAGGCTGCCCCCTTTTTGGAGGGGTTTGGTGGAATCACAGAACAGCTTAGATGTTGTTTCTGGCCCTCACCTGGTGCCTGCTGTCCCCGGACAGGGTGATCATGGGCAGACTCCAGGAGATCTGCAGTGTGGTGGGCGGCATGAAAGCACGGCCTCCATTGGGCCTGACTTTTTACTGGGGAGCACGTGTCACTTGGGACTTTGAGATGATTCAGCTGTGGCAGGTCAAATGCAACTGCAGGACAGCTTGTCTATCCTAAGGGCAGGGCTGTGGCTCTGTGCAAGGACAGCAATGTCAAATTGGAAGCCTGATTTCTGTGGGAAGTGGCTTCTGCTGAAGCACTGAAACCAGGTGGGCTGGACTCATTTTCCAGGTGTTGAGGAGATGCCAGCTGGGCATTCCTTGTTCTGGAGAGTAGCTGGTTACGTGCCCCCCTTCTCTCCTTGTGTTTCTCTCTAGTCATGGACGTGCAAGCATTTGAGAGGTTGCTCGGGCCCTGCATGGACATTATGAAGAGGAATATAACACATTATGAGGAGCAGCTGGTGGCACTGTTTGGCTCCAGCATGGACCTGATGGATCCAGGGAATTAGGCATAGGGCGCCTTCAATGCCTTCTCAGTTCAAGACACAGAAAAGCCTCCTTTCAGCAACACAACACACAAGAAAAAATGGACACTATGGAACAGTTACTGCTGCTGTCTTCTTGGGCATTTTAGAACCATAAAATAAGTCTCAGCACAGATGGATGGGTAGAGGCTTGCTCCATGCCTCCACTTTGCTGCTGAAATGTCATTATTAGGCCTAGTTTAAAGATGAATCTAACCCTTTATTCACTTGCTTGGCTCAGAGTGGCGTGTCTCTCCAACAATAAGTGCCTGATACGAAACCCAAAGTGTAAAAGATATGGAGCCCTCTCTTTCCTTCTTGTCTTGTAGTGATAAGTTTTCAGAGTGTGGTCTGTAACGGCAGGCTGCTTACCCTCCATGGCGGGCGCTGCCTTCCTGTTACAGGCTTTTGCTATCTTCCTTTGACACTTCCCTTACAGAGCGGCAAAAATCTGGTTGTAGTTGCTGCACTTGGGTTTGAGGTTGACAGTATCAAGGGGGCTGAACCTGTCAGAGCCATTGAATAAGTTGGCACAGAGTTGCTGCGCCACTGTCTGGAAGCTGCAAGTACTGCAGTTCTCTAGTGCAACCGAGTGTGGGGGGACAGGCATGTCCCGAGTAGCACAGAGAACAGCTCTGCTTCTTTGCGCTGCCAGAGCCTATGGGGTTTGGCTTGTGCGGTAAGAGTTGGAGTGGCCTGAAGGGGCTGTAGCTGTATTGTCCCCCAGATCTCCTTGTCTCCTCGCCTGGGCAGGTTTTATGATTGAGGTATTGCAACATATGACCCTCTGTCTTAGAGAGATCCTCTGTACTGCTAGACTTCACATGGCACTGCTGTTGTCTGGGTCAGTTTTAAAACTCTTTTTAAGGAGGCAATTTTTTGTAATTTAAAGGAAGACTATTTATGTACTTACATGAGCTCTCCTTAGTCCTAATATTTTACTGTAATCTAACTGGATTAGACACAAAGATGCTTCCAAATGCCAAGTCTCCTTGTTTAAACCTTTCAAGAGTTAGCAGTGTTTGACTTTGTGAAGCCAACATCTTTGCTAACAAAGTAGCCGGTATATTTGGGAGATCTTATGGTTTAGGTAATAATTCAGCTAATGGTAGTTATCTAAAATACCTGTTTAAATTGCAGCATCTATTAGACAGACTTCTCCTTCTGCCAAGATTTTATCAGAGTATTATCTAAATGAGAATCAGACATCAAGAGGGACCTTTTTATGGCAAAACCCAGAATCTTTCTACAACAACACTGACTTTTCAGGTAATAATAACTCTAATGAGCCTTTCCATCCTCAGTCTCTACAGCTCGTGCAGAGCTTTTAACGTTAGACTCCAGCAGAAAAGGACCTGCCCTTCACTTCTTGTGCCCATGTGGGCAAAGAGAGAGAATGTTAAAGGTCTGGAATCCTGCTTCTCATTGGCATGATGGATCTGCTCCACTACAGTGGAAGATGCAGAGCTACAGCTGTGGGGAAGCACTGCTGGCTGGACACTAGCTCAGTTGGCTGCAGATCCTGCCTTCTCCCCCCCACCTACCCATGCTGCTTATTAGAATGGAGCCGCTCTGGGTTGAATGCTGTCATTCAGTGACAGTAGTTGGCTTGCATGGCATGTCCAGGTGATGCAAATGGTTTGTAATGGAATGGGCAGAACCAGTTGCCATGCCCTTACTGCCCTGATCAAGCTGTCCAGCAGCTCTTCGGACTGCAGCCATTCTGGAATGGTGTATGCTCCCTGTTTTGCCATGTGGGTTCTGTTTTGCATTAAACTACAGCCAAAGAAGCAGCAGGAATTTCATTCATGCTTCCAAGGTGACACACCAAAGACATGAGCTTTCATTAGAGCTATGAACAGGGGAAGGGCAGCACCAGGGAGCTTGGAATTGGGTAGTGGAGCTGCCAGCTGGAGCCCGTCCAGATAAGCCCACACAAAGCAGTCTCTGCACCAGGCTGAGCTCCTGCATGGTGTGCTGTCACGCAAGGACATGTGCCATCAGAAGCTCTGCTCCCTCATGCTCCTCCCTTCTTCCACTGCAGCCAGCAAGGGGGCTGCTGTGAATTCAGTTGGGCTCTGCTGTCTCAACCATCACTTCTCTACATCACAGACCTAGCCTCTATATGTTGTTTTGAGGCCTGGTCCAAGGAAAGCAAGGCCTGCTGGCTTCCTTGGCCTTGGGCCTGAAGGATTCAGTGGCTTTAGAAGCCAGAGGAAGGGAATGGAGATAGGGATGTCTTGAGGTCACAGAGCAGTGGGGAACAAGCCTGCCCAGTTTTCCCATCTTGGGCTGCTGGCATGCAGCACTGCAGCGCTGTGTCCCACGGCTGTCCTTGGGCAGTGCCACAACCCACCCAGCTCTGAGACATGTATGGTGCAGGGAGATGAGAAGCCTCTCAGGGGGACTGCTGATTCTGGAGGTCTCATTTGGAAGGTGCTGAGCCAGGCCAGGCCAGACTGGTTTATCTTGTGTGGCATAAGAGGGTGTCCTTTGAGAGGGTTGGTTACATGTCAGCCTCTTTGGCTAGCCAGCTAGAGCACTGAGCGAAGCTGGGGAGACTGCTTGCGAGTGGTGACGTAGATAAGAACCAACATGGAGATGGTGGCTGGTAGGCATTCGACAGCATCGGTGCTTCCCATCTTATCCCAGCCACCTTCTGTCATGTTTGTTCAAACGTCTCTGAGTACACACGCAAGTTCCCTGTAGGTACTGCTCTGTGTTCAGTAGAGTGGAGCTGCCAGAAATTCTCAGAAAGTGGCAGAGGAGAGCTCTAGTTTAATAAGAGCACCCAGCAGCAAAGTGGGTAAAGAGGAAGGTGTCTTTGAGGCCCGAAGAAGTATCTTTAATTTCTGATTCCCTGCTTGTGATTGTTGTGAAGTCAGTGAGAGGAGCTTTTGGTAGTCAACAGTGTCCTGGCATATTACAGCATCTCTGTTCACCATTGCAGCACAGATTTCACAGTGTACAAAAAAGGCTGTCTCTTTTTAAAAAAAAAAAATCAACAAAAATAAAAAAAACAAAGTGCATTTTTGCACGGAGGAAAACACAACCCTCCTTTAAATGTCCCCATCCGTTCTTTTCCAGTTAGTCAAAGAATGGGAGTTTGTTTTCAAAATGTATTTGTAAATCGGTCTTGCCAAAATACAAATGTTTTGGTTTTTTCACTCCAGTCACTTCCTGTTGTTACAATTATTGCTACTGCTGTTTCCAGTTCTTTCAACCGTGTTTTCTTTCAAGAGGCCTTCTCCTACCAGGCTACAGCACTAGACCTGTATTTGAAGTTGCAAGAGAAAGTCACTACTCTCCGAGGAGAATTACTGAAGTCCACCTCGTCTGACGGGAGCTGCCGATACACTACTGGTGTTTTCCTTCGCTCAGAAAAAAGAAATTGAATTCTACCAAAAGATGCTACCTCAAGGCTCCAAGTGCTTGCCAAGGTCTGTCAGCTGGGAGAAGTGCACGAGTCAGTTCTGAAAACCGGGTTGTGGCTTCGAGGTAACTGTCTTGACGGATTCATTGGGGGACCCTTCTTTTAATGCATCTGCCATGAAGTATTTGATTCTCAAAGGACGCCTGATTGTGGAGAGGGAGCCGGAAGAGTGTCACCTGGCCGGGCCGCCGAGCTGGGGGCAGCTTCGCTGCTGGTTAATAAAGAGCTGACGTTGTGTCCAGCCTTCCTGGCCCACAGTGTGCGTGTGCTTTATTCAGTGACCTGGGGCGGAGGCTCGGGACGAGCCCCGGCGCTGCTGGGGGGGACCTCGGCCCCGGTTATCCGTGCCCGCCGGGCATCCCTGTGCCACCTGCACGTGGCGCGGGCGCATGCGCAGTGCGGGGGCCACAGGCTGGCGAAGCCGTTCGCTGCCAGGGCGGCGTCGCCGGGCCCCCCGCGCTTGCTGTAGGCGTCCCGTCCCGCGGGGATCCGCCTTTCCCATGGGCTGGGCCCCGGAGGGGGCGGAGCCGCCTTGCTGCCCTGCCATTGGCTGGGCAGAGTAGCTCGCTGGTTGACTGAGAGACAAGGAGGTTCCGGTTCCGGTCCGGCGCCGGGCGCTGTCCACGTGTCGGACGCGGCGCCCCAGGATGGCGGAAGGCGGCGCTGGGGAGGGGCCGCCCCGGGCCCCGCTTGAGCGGCTCGTTCTGAAGAGCGCGGCCGAGCACCACTACCTGCGGGTCTCGCTGTAAGGGCGGCGGGGGC